TGAGGGAGCTGGGCCTGTTCAGCCTGGAGCAGGCTGAGAGGGGATCTGATCAGTGTCTATAAGTACCTCAAGGGAGGGAGTGAGGAGGATGGGACCAGCCTCTTTTCAGAGGTGGCCTCCAACAGAATTAGAGGAAACGCCAGAAACTGAAGCATCAAAAGTTCCACAGGAACTTAAGGAATTTTTTTTTAACAGTGAGAGTCATGGAGCACTGAAACAGGTTGCCCAGAGAGGTAGTGGAGTCTCCTTCTCTGGAGATCTTCCAAACCCGCTTGGATGAAGTCCTGTGCCACGTGCTCTAGGTGACCCTGCATGTGCAAGGGGGCCGGACTGCATGATTACTAGAGGTCCCTTCCAACCTTAACGATTCTATGATTCTAAGGGAAGTCAGGTTTGACTAGTGACTGCTGTTCCTTTCCAAAATGTCCCTGCTTTTTAGCTGGAGAAATTCAAATATACATATTAAAAAAATCAAGTGGAAAACTGAAGGAAGAAAAAATAAAATATTAAACTTTTTCTAAAAAAGATGTTTCTAGCCTTGTTACAGCCATATAATTGTTAAACAAAGCCACCAAGCCATTTTAAACACATCCTTCACCAACACTCACAAGTTGGGCATCTTTCTTCTTTGGTGCAGCTCACAGCTGCAAGTTTTGTCAGTGAAGCAGTACACAACTAAAATAGAATATTTATGATAACATTTACAACGAAAAATTCACACAGTTCATTGTAGCTGTCAAAAGCTGTAACACACTTTCAGTCTTAGCCTTCCTAAGACTCTGTTTTAAGAAAAAAATAAAAAATAAAAGAAAAAGCCCATTAAAGCCCATTTCCCTTATGAGGTTTGTGAAGCACCCAAATACAACAACAATGAACACTACAGTGAGCAGAATAGAGAGAAAAGGAGAAAACAAAGAGCAACTGGATCCCTGAGTACCCGTCACCCTGTGACCCTATGAAATGAGACAGAAGATATCTAGAGAAATGATCCTGAGATCATCTGCTAACAGGAAGCATATTTCAGGGTGACTTACATGATAGGGAGGTGGATAGAGGTTGCAAAGGATAGCAAAGAAAGGCATTTTTAAAATTTATTGATACTTCATAATATGTAATATGATAAAATAACATAATTTATAATACCAAATATTAAAGAAGAGTAAATTAAAAAAATATTTAGAATATGTCTGTGGGAAGTTTAACTCCCTTCTTATGACTTCTTACTACCAAATTACTAATAAATACGATGGAAAAATGGCTTACAAACAACACTAAAACAAATGCTCTGCCTCTAGCTTCTTCTTTCAAACTGGTAGGAACTTTAAGCTGTTACTAGTTACCAGCTCCTAACAGAATTTTATTAACTGAACCATGGCCATAATCCCATTCCCACAGTGCCTTGCAAAAAACATCGCCTAAACTGGTGGTTCTGTTGGCAGACACAAGAGTAAGGCCAAGGAACTAATGGATGTGACGTGCTCTCCTACACCAAGGAAATGTCATTTTACTCGTGGCTGCGATTTGCAGGTGGGCAGGTATAGCGAGGTGGGCAAACACGGCAGACACCCGCTCTGCTTTATGATAGTAGGATCAAATAACTGCTTGAGATAAAAATAAGAATACATTTTAGATGAAATTTCAGAGTGCATTTACACTCATTGCAGCAATGTTTCCATGTTAGCAGCAGATCTGCAGCAACTAACAGAGACCTTGTCACAATTGAGGCCACCCCAGCACCCATTACCATGCCAGTGGCTGTTCTCTGCGAGCTCCTGCACAGCCTGCAGCCGGACCTCTCTGTCTTCTGACTGGCTTCTCTTTAAAAGGAGCCACAAGGCACATTCATGATCTTCTCCATCAAAGGTGCTGAAGTGTTCTTCACCAGAAAAGAAATAAAACTCAGGTTAAAATTAACATGCATTTCAACATTATTAGATGTTAACAGTCATATGGAAAAAAACCAACATTCATAAAATGCTGGTCTCTAAACTAATAGGAAGTTTTTGATTCATTTTAGTGGCACTAAATCAATACTCCATGTATTCAGGATTTTAAAAAATTGCCTTATACATGTATACTGGCTGGCACTTACCAATGAGAACTGCCAGACTTCAACAACAGGTATGATTAGCAGCTTCGAAGCTCACACACAATTGAGAAAATTGAGCTACATTGAACAACTAATTTCATAGCTCTTCTATGAAAATACATATTGTTGTAACTATTTTCCTGAGAGTTAAATGAGGACAGTAATTTGCCTCAGACAACACATCAGAAAAAAAAGTCTCTTAATGTGTATTCAAATTCTTATATTAAATTAGTCTAAAAAGCAGTGACAAACTTTAAAAAAAAATTGCTTTCATGTAATGTGGACAATTCTGATGAATGTGTACATCCCTTTTAAGTACTTTAAGGACTCTTTAATGCACAGAAAATATATTAATATTCTGAATAAAAAGAGTCCATGAAACACTACCAAGTAATATTCCCACCACTGCTTGAAACCAAAAAAGGTATAAATTAATTTTGAAAAAAAATTACTTCCTAGAAGACCAATATTTTACTATTCAATATATTAAACATGGATAAAGCCATGCTTTTAATACCTACCATTAAAAGGTCTGCGGAGAATTTTAGCTTCTGTTTCTAGAATTTTCCTCACAGCTCTATGGATTTCTCTTCTTGCTTGGTATGTAATCCCTAAAAGAGTATTTTTTAGATAATTTATAGTTTGAAGGACAAGTTCTTACATTATTACATCCTGGAATGGCTTAAACAACAGACGGCCATCATCGTAAGATAAATTCTGCAACAGTGTTAAGAGGTTTTTTTCTTTTTCCTAACAGAGCTCAGGAAATGCATCTTTCTTGATGTAAGAGTTACTTCTAGAAACTTCAAAATATTCATACAAGGTCTCAGATGTGGATTTGCAGACCAATCTATGCGCCATAGACTTTCTGATACATTTCTTGAAACTAGTGGTTTCTCACCAGATTTTCCCTATACACTGCAAGTTAACCATGTAAGAGCACTGTTATGACTATACAAACTGTAAAAGGTTTTTGTACTTATTAAGAAGACAAGGACTACACACACTTGCAAAAGCATAATAAACTATAACTCTATAAATATAACTATTTAAAAAAAATGCATTGTGGATTTTTTCCCCTTTCTCAGGGAGTTTTTTTCACAAACTATGTCAGATATTAGGGCACAATTGTAAACAACTGCTCACATCATGGTCTGTGTGGTCAGAAACAGTAGGACTCATAAGTTGTTAATCTTCCTGAAAGACAAAAGCTTTCTTTAAAGATGCACTATTTTGATATAGGTCTTTACTTATCATTTCATCTAGATGCAAGTAAAATGAAAGCTAAATTAACATATAAAATACTGCATAGTGCCTACCATGACAGAAAGGGAACCGCACACCAACAGAAGAATATCCAGCTACGTCTGGTGAACTAGCATGTTTGGTGCTGATATTAATATACATTAAAAAACATTTTTTAAGCTTTTATTTTTAGCATAAATACACACACACACCTCACCTTGATATTCGCTTGGATCCAGAGAAGTTGGACGCACATATACATAGGATTTAAGTTTTTCTTGATTTATAGCTTGAGTATCAATTTTCAACAACTTCTTTAAGGATAGAACTTCATATGTAATGAATACAAAGCCTCTTTAAAAAAAAAGCAAGCTGTGTATGAATATCATTAAAATATTTAAAAAGATAACAAATATATGTTAACAATCATTTTCTTATAAAAGTCTTTAACTGTAAATACCATTTTTACCAAATATATATTAGCCTGAAAACTCTTTGAATTTAGCACAGTAAATACAATTTAAAATAGTAAAGTAATATTTACAAAAAATACGATTCCAAAGAAGGTATTTTTTGACATGAAAGAACATAAACTTCAACACGTTTTTATAAAGTTACACGACTTAAAGACTGAACGGTATATGCAAGTTATATGTACGCTTCTTAGCTACAACTTACCCTAATACAAGTGATCCAGTTACCTTCGCAATTTTTCCTCAAAAAAAAGAAAAAAAAAAAGTTAGGCACAACACCTCAATATAAACATAGTTAGCAATTGATTAACAAAGATAAATGAATTTCAGCAATTAAAATTAAACTTTTTAGTATTTATTTTTCTACTACTCTTTAATTTTCAGGAAATCAACACCTAGATTTCCAACAGAGAAAACGGCATTCAATTATAATTTCCTGTCCTCCTAAGCAAGATGATAAAACATTATCCTGTCAGTTATTTTTTTTTCTTTTTTTATATTCATTGCTCAGGTGCAAGAATCACTCATCCTGTCTACATCATTAGCATTCCCTTGGAATTCCATATTATTTTAAGGAGTTAACTTTTTCTTATATGATGTGGATATTTTCTCAATGTATATGAAAATATGCAGCAGTATATATGTTCTTGTCAAGTCCTGCAGGATGTCCTTAATACTTATAAAAGAAAAAAAAAGTAATTTATCAAACCTAATTTGTTAAGGCAAATATCTGGAATAACACATCATATATACCGCTTTTCCTTTTAAATCTAGATGATCTGAGATTTTTTTTGCCTGGACAAAGTTGAGATGATTTCCTGGATGTAAGCATCTCAACACAGTTATAAAGTCTGTTAATATAAGTTTCCAAATTCAATGGAAACCATCTCACTCTACCATGAATAATTCCTTTTTCTCAGCAAAAATTGGAGATTGGCCTTATACCCACTGTCACCAGTTCTGCCTTTGTGGGACCTGAAGAATTCTGGCATGAAGAGAAGAGGCAGCTACATGCTGAAGAAAGAATCACAGAGAAGATAAAAGGGCAAGAAATGCGATGCTTGCTGCATTGAAGAAATGAAGATCTCTTTGCCTTTAATGCTGAAAAATAACTTTAGAAACCCAGGAATACTATTTCTAAAAAGAAATAGCCAAGAAGAGTAGAGATTAAGCAAGACAAAACAATAAAAACAAAGTTTATTAAAGTGCTATCATGGACAGTAAGAGTTTAGGGATGCAATTCATTTGTGGCTGTAGGAGGAAAAAAGAAGTTACAAGACTTGCTGAGTTTACGATAGCTTAATGAGATTTCTACTTTGGGTGGATCCTTACCTTGTATTCTTATCTGCTCCTTTTCCCCAGAAGTAAATCTCTAATTGGCATGATTATAAAGTCCAGAACCTGAATCAGCTATAAATCAGCGTGAGGGCATTCATCTGAGATGTGAATTACCCTGCGCACATCAGTGACATGTTGACACTGCAACCTACTAAAGTCATTTGACATATCACTATGCAAAGCATGGTCAGAGACAGGCATTCACTGCTGGAAAATATAAAAGCTTTTGGTCAGAAAATATTCAGGGACTTAGATCTTTTGTATCGCCTAATTATGCAAGGTGCCAGAGCAATAAATACTTCTCTTTTAAACTAGGAACTCAGCTTGATCTTTATAGAAATAAAAGAACTACACTTACTGATATCCTTCCAGGGTAGGTGGCTTTTTGTAGCTGGTCCAGAAGTTCCTATTTTTCTACAGCAAAATACACAGTAGGCAGTCACTGACATTCTGTACGTTCAAAAAAAAAAAAAAAAAAAGTTAAAATATTGATTTGGAAAACTAATAACCTGTTTTCCCTGTGTCTTTCCACAACAAAGGTCATGATATACACTTTTTGGATCATTTTAATATTCTGTATAAAAGTTCTACTTTAAAACATATTTGAATTATTGAACACAGTAGTCTACATTTCAATTAAGTTTCGATCAAAGTTTCCTATAGCTACATGTTACTATTGATTTTCAATGATTACGTATCTCCAATAAACTTCTGCTTTTCTAAGTCTCCTTTCCTACTTCCTAATTCTCCCTTAAATACCAGATATGATAATATCCCTGAAGTATCAGAGATCAAGACCCTACTTGATATCATGTGTGCTTTACCACAGCTTGGTAACTAACTACTTCTGGAGCTCATATTTGGGTTTGTGCTAACAAGTAAGTCCCGTTAATCTGGTTAAGTAGACTCCAAGAATTAACACACATTTTTATCCTTTAAGAGCAAATTAAACTAACATTTATAAATCCTTTCTGCAAAAAGCACTTTGCAGCATAAAAGCACCTGTTTTTCTCATCTCTAGAAAACAATTATACAGTCAAATCTTCCTTACAAAAAGATTTTACTCTACTTAACCGCAGACTAAAACTTTAGCAAATGTGAAACACAGCAGCAGCACCGCAACTCCCTGGATTCCAAACGCCCACGAGGAAACCAGAGGCTGGAGGGAGCAGCACTTCTTGCTCGCAGCTACCTCGGTTCAGGCTCGACCTCGGAGCAAGTTTCTTCACGTCCCTGGGAGCCCGAGGCAAAAGCCCCGATTTCCACCCTACCTCACATAGGCTCCAACTCGCTGCTGGAGGCTGCCGCGGTGCCAACGTGCGGGGCCTCACAGAGAGGCCGGGGCAGAAACGACGCTGCCTCCCGGCTGCCGTTGATTAAAAAAAAAAAAAAAAAAAAAGCACGGGTTTTTT